GGGGGACCAAGTTTGCTGGTCTGATAGAGCCTGGTGGAACCACTGAGACTATGGCCCCTAGCTATCCTTCAGGTCTGGAATTGAACCCACACCTGTGGCTTCCAGCCAAACAAAAGACAGGCATATGAGTTGAATATGTACCTGATACATACACTCCTTGAAGAGAACAATCATGGGAGACAGAAGGGCTGTGTATGCACAGGGAGAAAGCATAGGGGGCAGGAGTGCATGGAGGGATGGACACAGGGAAGAGTAGGAAATGCAAGAGGAGCTGTTGCATTATGGTAAATTGTGTTCAAGGTCATGACAAAACGTGTGTGTGAACTGCTGTATGGAAAGTGAATTTGCTCTGTAAACTTTCACCCAAATCACAATTAAAAAAAAGAAGTACGTGCTCCTCAGATTAATCAACTACATGAGACCAAACATGCACCATGTGCCCCAAACCAAAGATGAGAACAAGGAGGGACAGGGAAATCTGACAAATGGAAAGGAGGAAACAGGGAAAAAGCTAACACATTGCAGGGACTGCAACCAATGTCAAAGAACAATTCGTGTACATTGATCGCGAAACTAATTTTCAATGTAAACTTTCACTTAAAGAACAGTAAGATGTTTCTAAAAATCAAACTAGTTATTTAAATAAACACACTTCTATTTATTCTATACTGTTTATCACTACCCTAAATTATTAAACAATATCATTAATATCACAAGCAAGTAAAACCTTGCTGAAGATAATTCAAAAATGGTTACAGCAGTATACTGACAGGGAACTGTTAGAAATGCAAGCTGGATTTAGAAGAGGATGTAGAATGACATTCCTGATGTCAGATGGATCTTGACGGCAAAGAGTTTACCTGTGTTTTATTGACTATTCAAAATCATTTGATTGTGTGGATCATAACAAATTATGGATAACACTGACATGGATGGGAATTCCAGAACACTTAACTGTGCTCATGAGGAACCTGTACAAAGACCAGGAAGCTGTCATTCAAAGAGAATAAGGGGATACTGCATAGTTTAAAATCAGGAAAGGGGTGCGTGTCAGGGTTGTATCCTTTCACACCATACTTCTTCAATCTGTGTGCTGAGCAAATAATCCAAGATGTTGGACTATAAGAAGAAGAATGCAGCATCAGAACTGGAGGAACGCTCATTAACAACCTGAGATATGCACATTATACAACATTGCTTGCTGAGAGTGAGGATGACATGAAGCACTTACTGATGAAGATTAAAGACTACAGTATTAAGTATGGATTACACTTTAAAAACAAAAATCCTCCCAACTGGACCAGTAAGTAGCATCACAATAAATGGAGAAAAGATTGAAGTTGTCAAAGATTTCTTCATATTACTTGGTTCCACAATCAACACCAATGGAAGCAGCAGTCAAGAAATCAGATGTCATATTGCACTGGGCAAATCTGCTGCAAAAGACCACTTTGTAGTGCTGAAGAGTAAAGATGTGTCTTTGAAGACTAAGGTGCACCTGACCCAAACCGTGGTATTTTCATCTGCCTCATGTGCATGTGAAAGCTGGACAATGAATAAGGAAGACCCAAGAAGAGTTGATGCCTTTGAGTTGTGGTGCTGGCGGAGAATATTAAAAAGTACAATGGACTGCCAAAGGACTAACAAATCTGTCCTAGAAGAAATGCAGCCAGAATGCTCCTTGAAGTGAGAATGGCCAGACTTTATCTCACATACTTTGGCCATGTTGTCAGAAGGGCCATTCTCTGGAGAAGGTTGTCATGTTTGGTAAGGTGGAGGGTCAGTGAAAAAGGGAAAGGCCCTCAACAAGATGGAGTGATACAGTGGCTACAACAATCAGCTCAAGTACAGCAAGTAACATGAAGCTTGCACAGGACTGGGCAGTGTTTCCTTTTGTTGTACAGAGGGTTGCTATGTGTCAGAGCTGACTCAATAGCACCTAACAACAACAATGAAGAGCATGAAGCTCCTGGGTGGGTCGAACAGTTAATGAACGATTACTAATGAGAGGTAGGCAGTTTCAGCCCACCCAGAGGTGCCTCTGATGAAGGCCCTGTGATCTACTTCTGAAAGCTCAGCCACTGAAAACCCCACACAGAGCGCAGTTCTTCTCTGTAACACACAGTGCTGCATAAACTCCAACCCATTCAACAGCAACTGTTTGGCTTTCTGTTTTTGGTTTAAACAGTTCTTCCGGGATATTCAGGAGCCTTGGTGGTACAGTGGTTAAGAGCATGGCTGCTAACTGAAAGGTTGGAGGTTCAACCTCACCAGCCTCTCCATTGGATAAAGTTGTGGCAGCTTGCTTCCATAAAGATTACAGCCTAAGATTGCCTATGGGGCAGTTCTACACTGTCTTATAGGGTCACTGTGAGTAGGAATTGACTGGACAGCAATGAGTTTGATTTTGTTTGCTTATTTGTTTACTACAATATTCAACATACTCTGTTGTGGTCATACAGCAGATTTCATATATTTTAATGTTCTATTTTGTCCTTGGAAATAGGAAATAAACACTAGCTACACACAGATTTATTCTTAATTGAGAAATACCTAACCTGTTTCTAGTGTATGGGATATCCTAAGAAAGAAAACAATAAACTTTCTTACACAACAATGTGTATCTCTTTTTAATTATTTAACACATCTCAAATCCACCATTGCCCCAAGGAAGTCAAAATAAACATTAACTTCTCACATTCCTTTCACTCACTTCTTATTCTATTAAAATCCTCTTCGAGTCATACAACCTTAAGAATAAACATTATAACAGCCATGACATAAGTATACAATGCAGTCCCTCAGTGGCTAAATGTACCTGTAGATCATAACCCAAGAGCCATCTTGGGCAAACCTAGACAGCCTGAATTTCAAGTGATGGGAAGGCAGCTTCATAGATATAAAAACTTATCAAACCAAAAATCATCTGGCAATGCTAAAGAAAAGTTCACATGACCATGAGCAAAAACAGCCCAAATTATTTCTATACAGAAATGTGTTCCAGAGAATCCTTAGAGAGTTTAGAATAAGAAAGGGAGTAAATCATATAAATTTAGGAAAGTGGCAAAAATAGACTTTAATTAAATACAGCAAAATCGTCTCTATTCAAAATTTAACTGATAAATAGTCATGAAAGTCGACTGTTTTTTCCTTAGCACTTTTATACAAAAAACTCAACAGAAAGCAAGTGCATATCAAAAACTTACTTTGAATATTCACATATTTATTAAGGTTTTCTGAATTTACTGACATTTAGATTTATCTACTCTTTCCATAGACTCTGTCTGCAGTAACACCACTCTGAGTTTCGGTTTCCTTATCTATAAAATGATTTTTAACTCCATTTCCAATTCTATCATTATATGTTCATAATAAAGACTTCTTAGACAGTATAAAAACCTAAGTGTCAAATAGGTAAATACACATGTATCTTATAAGAATGAGGAAAAAAAAAAATTCAGATATTTAGAACATGGCATATTCTCAGCAAGACCACATTCACGTTGCAACAGTGGCACATACAAGAGACCATTATGTTATGTGATACCCACAAAATAGAATTAGACCAAGAATTAATTTCAGCCTTTTCATTCAGGTCTTTATATACATTGCTTGAAAAGTTAACCAGGTAGTAAAAATTGGCTATCAGGTTATTTCTTCCCTTCATTATGATCTGTTTGGATTGGTGGCATTCAATAGTAATCTGGCCTTTCAGAGCCTTAGATTCTTATTTACTTAAGGAAATTGGAACAGATGATCTCCAAAGTCCCTTCCAGCTATACTGACCTCTCAAGAAAAAAACAGGGTACTTAATTCAATTAAAGTACCCAAAGAGTTGCTCAGTATTAGACTCAATACCCTGTTAATACACATAGCATGTAGAATCTTCATTAATGTTTCAGAAATAGAGACCACAATAATTATTTATTATTCTTTCAGATTTGATGAGTTCTCATTAATAGCCATACAGAGACAAAAGACATCATATAACTTTAAAATATAATAGTTTTCCTACAATGCCCTATGGTATATATTCTAAGGCCAAAAAGAAGGGTCCAACAAAAAGAAAAAAATGGTTTCAGTAATCATATTGTTTGTGGCTGTGTGTGTGTTGTTACACTGAGGTGTTGTATATTATGGGATTAAAGCAAATGAGTAATTAAGCAACCAGTTCAATAAAGTTAGTTTCACTTGTTCCATTTTGCTTTTGATTTTCTAGAGACTGTTATTTTTAAAACTCAGTTTTATTTAATAATTACATAAAACATTCACATGGTTCCAAAATTAAATCTATAAAAAACAAATTTGTTCAAAGAAGTCTAGCTTCTATCCCTGTCCCTCCAAGCACTTTGAAATACATGGTCTCAGATCCAGTGACAGTTAAAAGCATGGCCTCTAGATTTAAATCTTGTGTGTATGACCTTGGATTGTGACTTAATCTCACTAAATTTATCTCCTCACCTCTAAAAATGGTGATAATAATAGAACCTACTTCAGAGGGGGTGTTGTGAGGATTAAATAAGATCATCTGTCCATAGTACTTGGCTTGGTGAGATCTCAGTATTCATCATGATTATCAGGACCTCACTTGAGATTCATGACCCTCTTGTAATCCAGACAGATTAGGAAATGTACCTGGCAGTGCTGTATCACTGCCTAGGGCAGGGAGCTCTATGACCAAGAATATGGCCCGTCGTTCAGTCTCATTACTGTATCAGGTACTTACTCCTGAGACTCTAGCCTACTTCACATGCCCTGCTCATCACACATTCCCTACAACCAGCACAGGAAAAAGAACTTTGTTCCAGCCAAGGGTGATGGCAAGAGACTTACTGTATTCAGTGCATTAAGAGTGGTATCATCTCGAGATGCTGCAACACAGCCATCTTCTGTGGAGCCCCCATCACACATCCCTGCAAATGCTGCCATGCTCCTTCAGGAAAGGAAGGAAAAACATCAAGACACAGGTTTTAACCCTCAACTTTCAAAGAATGTCCAGCCCTACCAAAATCCATTACTACATAGGTTGTAAAGAGAGCTCTCAGTCCTGCCTCTCTTTGTACCACACACACAAAAATTTCCTCCCTAGGTAATCTTTCCCTTACTCAAAAGGAGAAATGTTCCATTTAGTCAGGTATATTTGTGTTATTTCTTCCCATGCTTTATTAGTACTAAGATTTTAGTTCTGAGCAGGTGAATATATCTACTTGCAACAACACTTAGCTAGATTATAATCTTTTGAAAGAAGATTTAATTTCATATGTCCTGTAAACATATGAAATTAAATTTCCTGAAACTTAACTTTGGAGCTCTGGTGACATAGTGCCTAAGGCATTTGACTGCTAACCAGAATTCTTATAACATTATATACATAATTAACTTCAGGTGAATTAAAAGTGCAAAGAAAGAGATTAAGAAAACTCTTAGGAATCATTCACACCACTCAAAAATTCACATTCCTACTGTGTGCCACCAAGCACTCATTGTCAACCAAAGAATGACTAGAGCCACAGTGCAGATGCTTGGAGCTCGCTCTGTTTCAGTGTTTTCTCCTGGTGCACATGGTGGAGACAGCAGTCAGTCAGTCCCAGAAATTGCTACAAACAAAGGGAGGTTTTCTGCCGCTCTATAAAGTGTTAGGAAAAGATTTAAACTTTTATTTTGTAGCTTTGCCATTTGTATGTGAGCAACTAAGTTCCAGAGTATAAGCACAGATAAGCCACAAAAATGTCAAGTTCAGGTCAGGCACTAAAGAATACAGTCTCAGAAGAAAGAGATAACATGCCATCTATAACGGTATTTTAAAATGAGCCATTGGATGGGAGGTGATGATAACTGCACCCATGGCTTTAAGATGTTTTCCTTCACTGAAGAGTTCCAAAATCTGATGTGGAGTAAACACCAATGAGTATTAACCCAGGAAAAAGTAACTTAACCACAGTGAAAAATTTTCCTCTGGTAAGAAGGGCCAGTGTTCTCATTATAAAGGGTATAACAAAATTTAATGGCAGAAAATGTCCAATATACAAATAATTTTCTTGGGAAAGGAGAAAGTTTATTACCAACTAATCAATTCAGGTGGCCTAATTCAGAAAGGGGTGGGAGCAGATTCCCATTACCTTGCTGCCCTCAAATACATAAGGAGGTCACAGTCATTCACTCCAGGCATCCAAACCAGTTCTTCATGTTGGGTCACAGTACCACCATCTGGAGAAGGAAATGCTTGCAAATCTGGAAGTTTGGCCTGTAAGACAAGGATGAAGTAGTTACAATCATGGCACATGGAAAGAGCTGTCTCAGACACAATGGCTTTCTGAGTCTCCTTCTTTAGGCAGCAGAGAAATAACAGAATAAATTGTGAATCACTAACAATTGGCCTGGAACACATTCAGGATCATTCCATCAGAGAAGACTGTACAATGGAGTGACTGTTTATTCTCCACTTAATGAGAAGCTAACAGGATCAAAGTAAAACCAAAATTGAACTCACTGTTGTCATTTCCAACTCACAGCAAACCCTCCTTGGGTTTCTGAGGCGGTATCTCTATGGAAGCAGATCGCCCAGTCCTCCTTCCAAGGAGTGGCTGGTGGGTTTGAACCGCCAGCCTTCTGGTTAGCAGTCAAGTGCCTTAGGCACTATGCTACCAGAGCTTCCCAAAGTAAAGCACTGCCAGCACAATTCAAAAGAGTGTAACAGAAATGGAAATGTGTGAATAAAATAATTTAAAAAACAAAAGCAAAAAAGTGTCTCAGGAGAGAATAGCTCCTTGATAAATAAGAGAAATACACACTTCTAATATAATAAATTTACAAAAAAAACATGCAAAATGAAGCTTCACCTAAGGTTATTTGCTGAAAAATTAAATGAACTCCTATATTAGTTGAATCTACTTTCAAAGAGTCAATTTACAATATGTCTTATAGTCAGCATCATAGAGACTTTGGGGCCTTTAAGTATTGAAATTTAAAAAGCAGCTGAATTAACTTGTGGTGATAGAAATCAAACCAGTGGTTGCATTGGTAAAGGAGCAGGAAGGAATTTTCTTGAATGACTGAAATGTTCGGTACCTTGATATCCATATGTCACAGCTGAGTAAACAGTATATATAAGATATGAACATTGCACTGTACATAAAGAATACCTCACCTTAAAAGAATAAAAAAAAATTTTGAACAACAAGTATTCAACAACTAAGTTATCTAAGTCACCAGTTTTAAAAACTTTTGGCGTTTTTCCATCCTTATTCTGCTGGGGAAGAGCAACGGTAAGCAGTCCTTTGACTACCACAATGATCAGACACCTATGAAAAGTCAAACTTTTGCAAGACACAGATATTCAATTATCTTGTCAAATGGTAAACATGGAGGAGCTCTGGTAGCTGAGTGCCTAAGGCATTTGACTGCTAACTAGAAGGCTGGCAGTTTAAACCCACTAGCCACTCCTCGGAAGGAAGATTGGGTGATCTACTTCCATAGTGATACCACCTCAGAAACCCAAGGAGGGGTCGCTATGAGTTGGACCAACTCGATGGCAGTTAGTTTGGTTTGGTTTGGTGAACATGGGCAAAATACTTCATTAATATTTTAATGTTTGGTTTAATATAATGAAATGATAATATATGTTGAATATATTCTGGTACAATGTACTATTTAAATTAATTCAATTCTACCACTGTGGGTTTGTTTTGGTATACGCTGAGTTAAAAGAAGCTCTGGTAGCACAATGGTTAAGTGCTTGGCTGCTAACCAAAAAGGTCAGCAGTTTGAACCCACCAGCCACTGAGCAGGAGAAAGATGTGGAAGAGATTTCAGCTTGGAAACCTTACAGGACAATTTTACTCTGTCCTACAGGGTTGCTATGAGTCAGCATCAACCCGACGGCAGTGTGTTTGGCTTTGTGGTTTATGTATTGAGTTGGTTTCTTTCTAGGAACTATTTCAAGTAACTTTAAAACTCATTTTTATACAGCCTAAGTGGGTTGAAGAATACAGTCTGCAGTATGGATTACATCTCAACATAAAGAAAACAAAAATCCTCACAACTGGACCAATGAGCAGCATCACAATCAATGGAGAGAAGATTGAGGTTGTCAAGGAATTCACATTGCTTGGTTCTACAATCGATGCCAACGGAAGCAGCAGTCAGAACATCAGACGTCGTGTAGCATTGGGAAAGTCAACTGCGAAGGAACTGTTTCAAGTGCTGAGGAGCAAGGATATCTCCTTGAGGACTAAGGTGCGCCTGACACAAGCCATGATATTTCCAATCACCTTGTATGCATGTGAGAGCTGGACAATGAATAGGGAAGACCGAAGAAGAGTTGATGCTTTTGAGTTGTGGTGCTGGCGAAGAATGCTGAAAGTACCATGGACTGCTAAAAGAACTAACAGATCTGTCCTGGAGGAAGTGCAGCCAGAATGCTCCTTGGAAGCAAGAATGGCCAGACTTCGTCTCACCTATTTTGGTCATGTTGTGAGAAGGGACCATTCCCTGGAGAAGGATGTCATGCTTGGTAGGGTGGAGGGTCGACGAAAGAGGGGGAGGCCTTCAACGAGATGGATTGATACAGTGGCTGCGATGATGGGCTCGAGTATAGCAGGGATTGTGGGGCTGGCGCGGGATCGGGCAGTGTTTCGTTCTGCTGTGCATGGGGTCGCTATGAGTCGGAAACGACTCGACGGCACTTAACAACAACAACAACAAGTGGGATAGAGTCGAAGGCCAAAAAATTTATGAGTAAACTGTTTTAGATAATCAAATTGTTTGGAGCAAGAAGATGGAGTGACACAGCAGCTGCAGTAATGGGCTCAGATGTAGTAGGGATTGTAAGGTTGGCACAGGACCAGGCAGTGTTTCATTCTGTTGTGCACAGGGTCGCAATGAGTCGGAGATGACTCGATGGCACCTAACAACAACAACTATTTGGAGCACTGTGAATATTATTATTATGAGCTGTTGTATATGGGATAAAGCAAATAAATAATTATGTTAACATCATTAAAAATGTAATTTGAAGCATGAGAGAAAGATACAGATAAAAATGAAAGAAGATTAATACAAAGGTTAAACAAAAATGTGAATTAGAAGTATCAGTATGAATTTACCATGCAATTTATCTTTAAAGAAAGCAAAGCCATGGCCATCAGGTTCATTTTGACTCACAATGCCCCTAAAGGACAGAGTAGAACTGCCATATAGGGTTTCCAAGGCTGTAAATCACTACAGAAGCACACTGAGTCGTCTTTCTCCCGTGGAGTGACTGGTGGGTCTGCGCTGCCAACCTTGTGGTTAGCGGCCCAATGCCTTAGCCACTGTACCACCAGAGCTCCTTAAAGAAAGTAAAGCATATTTCGTAATTTTGAATTCTGTGCCTTGCTGAAAAGGTACAGAAACAGCAATAAGCAATGAATACTCTAAAATCCAGTTTCTAAATGCCCACTAAAACAAGTGAGGACTCCTGAGAGAAAAGCTGAATTCCAGACCTACAATAGGGAATGTAGAACCTGAGTCATTAAAGTCATGCCATAGCAGATAAAAGGAACCTACCAAAGACTACTCAGGTGGAATTAAAAGAAAGCAGAAGCAAAAAGAGGGATAATTTAATCATCAATAAGAATAAAAGATAATTTTAAATCCATGAATAATTAATATTTAAGAAAAAAAATCTCACTGGTCACCATCAGAAGATGTTAGGGGAACCAACTCAGTATTCTGAAAACTGATTAAAAACCGCAAAGACCCAGGCGTTTCTCTACCTTCAAGGAACCAAATACCGCTAACTTCTCACTTATCAACTATATCATTATCCAACATTTCACATTTATGACAGTAGTTAAAAAAAAAAAAATCTACTATCTATTTTGTGCATTAACGATGTATTTCTGGCAATAATGAACACCAAGGTGCAAGACAAGAGTAATGCTGGTTATGAGGGGTAAGGCATATGTCAACTTGGCTAGGCCACGATCCCCAGTGGTTTGGCAGTTACGTAATGATGTAACATGGGAGTTATGTATTGATGTAGTTATCTTCCATTCTGTGATCTGATGTGAGCCCCCATTTTTGCATAATGGCCTGGTCTTTGGAACCTAACCATGTCAGTAAGTGAGGAGTGAGTGTAGTTGATAAAACAAAGTTTCATTTACTCCACTAACAATAATGATAGAATTAGAATATCACTATTTTGAAATAAAATAATTCAGATAATACTAATAAAATAATGGATCTAAGTAACAACAAGCAATGCATGTCATTGTGGTTGTTGACTGCCATCAAGTCAATTCCAACTCATGGCAACCCCATGTGTGCTGAGTAGAACTGCTCCACAGGGTTTTCAATGCTGTGACCTTTCTGAAGTGCATCACCAGGCCTGTCTTCCAAGGTGTCTCTGGGTGTGGTCAAACTACCAACCTTTCGGCTAGTAGTTAAGTGCTTACCCATTTGGCACCACCCAGAGACTCCCAGTGCTTCTAATCATCATGAAAAGAGGCACACCTCCTGGTGGAAACACTTAACACCATCCATGAAATATTCTCATCAGGGGGAGAAACCAATCAAAATTTGATTAAATTTCTAGATTTAAGTACTGATTTTCAAGAAATGAGAAGGAAAGGGAAAAGTCTAATGACACACAGAGATGCAATCAGAAAAATTCAGACTCTGGATGAAGTATCCAGCTTCTTCAACGTACACGTTGAAAGGAGAAAGAAAAAGATCAAAGAGAAATTTATGAACTAAAAGAGATTTAAGAGAAAGATTAACCAACTGCAATGCATAGCCCTTATTTAGATTTCAATTTGAACTGTAAAATTAGTAAATAAACAAGTTATGAGACAATTAAGAAAATGTGGATGCATGTAGACATATGACTATCAAGAAATTGCTAATTTTTATCAGGTGTAATATACTATGGCTGTGTTTTTAAAAGAACTTTTAACTTTGGAATGTTTACAAGTAAAATGAGAGATTTGTGCTTGTTTAAAAAGAACAGCAGAGTAGGAGAGAAAGGAATCAGAAAGCACAGATAAATAACTTTGACCATGAATTCATATTTGTGAGAGCTGAGTAAAGAAGATATGGGGGTTTTATTGTATTATTTTTTCCCTCACTTTTGTACATATTGACACTTTCTCTAATAAAACAGTTAACATTTTTCAAGAATGTAAAATGTTGTCCATTTATAAAAAGACAAGCCCTGTTATTTTCGCGGTATTTGCAACTTTGGGGTGGGGATAGGGGGCACACAAGAGAAAGTATATAGAACATGTTTTAAATATGACATAAAATAAACATGATTTTAAATTAAAGATCAAAAATCCAAACAGTGGCATATGCTCCTTTTCTATGAATTTAAGCATTTTTTACTTAAGAACCACTTTTTCTGTTACTGCAGGGAAAAAATCTGTTAAGAATCTGGTACAAAGATCTCAAGACACTGGAAACATAAAAAAAGGGGAAGAAATAGGGGGGAGAATACAGTGGCACCAGAAAGCATAGAGAAAAAAACCAAGTCCTACCAGGCAACTACTGGATTCTTTGATTGAAAATGTCACTCCTAGGCCTGAAGGCACAGCAGATACAGTCCAGAGGTGGCAGGCCTTTCTAATAGGCCACACCAAGAAAACAGTGTACTGAACAAGATGGACACTGAGGGGCATGTCCTCTCACCTTTATTCTGCCTGTATGAGTTACAATCCTAGTAAGCTGTCATCTAGAAATTATATGCTCCTGATGGTTTTGGTGTTTAGGTTTTAATATCCACTCATTTCTAAATTTCTTTCCCAGTACAGAATTAAAATTAATTCTTAAAAAAAAAAAAAAGGATACCTAGCAATTTCACTCCTAGGTACATACCCCAAAGAACTGAAAGCAGGGATTCAAGCAGGTATTTTTACATAAATGTTCACTGCAGCATTATTCACAATAGGCAGGAAGTATAAACAACCGAAGTGTCCACTAACAGATGAAGAGATAAACAAAATGTGGTATTATCCGTATAATGAAATATTATCTAGCTATAAAGAGAAATGAAGTTCTGATACACGTTACAACATGGATGAAGCTTGAAGATATTATACTGAGAGGAGTAAGTCAGACAGGAAAGGATAAATACTATGACCCCACGTATCTGAAATGTCTAGAACAGACAAATGCATAGAGACATATGCTCATTAGTGGTTACCAGTGGCTGTGGGGAAGGGAAATTGGGGAGTTACTGTTTAAGGGGTAATGAGTTTCTGATTAGAGTGATGAAAAAATATTTGGAAATGGACAGTGGTGATGGTTGCACAACATGGTGAATGGGGTTAAAATCATTAAATTGTGTACTTAATATGGTTGAAATGGCAAATGTTTATTATATATATTTCACTACAATAAAATTTTTTTTAAAGTAAATGAAAATAGAGAAGCTCACAGACATAATAAACTCTCAAAATTTAGACAGAGAAATGAGTAACTAGATAACCTATTACAACCTTGATGTCATTCTATGGAATTGCCTTTATCTCATGTCTCAGGTATGAGCTGGCTATAGTGGCTGACTCCCAAATATCCATTCCAACTGAAATGATAATCTATGCCAATCATGCTAATAACTGACATGAACACATGACTCATTCATGGCAATGAGATGTGTTGGGACTTTTGGGAAAATCTCTTTGCTCCTAAGGAGAAGAGAAGAATGACTCTAGGCAGCCTAACATTAGAGATAAAAAATAGTGATGATAGACTAAGGCTCTAGTCTAAAAACACTGAACAAAATACAAGAGGGCACAGGTTATTAGACAACAAGCATACAACCAAAAAATACCCTAACCATCTGGACTCTGTTTTTAAATTATAAATATAGAAGTATATGATAATCTGAAAAAAAAAAAAAAAAACCCTGTGCATTTTTATAAAATTCCTAGTAAGCAGTAATAACAGTCCTAAGATTGTGCTCCACATAATAGAGGTCAAGCAGAATAGTAAGAAATGGAAACCTATTAAAGAAGCTACTAAAATTTGCTTTACCTGATGGCTAGGGCCAACACGAATTTCTCCCTGTGTACTGTTCAGCCTCCTGTCATGAAAAGAGCACATGAAGTTAGCAAAACGCAGTTTGACATAAACATGCACACATTTTTCAAGGAAAGTCATTCATTTTTAATAAATGGAGAAAACTCAAGATTAATTCATTTTCCTGCTATTTCTAATATTGCTCCACAATGTGTACCTCCCTACCAGCTACCTAAAATCTTCCCCCTCTAAAAACCTGATTGTGCGGCTTCCCAGTTTGAGCATCTTCCCATACCATCATTCTTTCACATCTCTGAGAAATGGACATTCCTTCAGTACAATCCCAATCAGATGTTTCTTCTTTTAAAAACATTTCAGGGTACTCTATTAAATTTAAGTAGGTCAACTTAAAGTTTGTAGGACACATACTCTGCATTTCAGCCACTCATTCAATCATTCAACAAATATTTATTAAGCACCTACTATAAACCAGGAAGGAGCTGTGGTGGTGCAATGGTTAAATGCTCAGCTGTTAACCAAATGGTAGGTGGTTTGAACCCACCAATAGCTCCAGGGGAGCCATAAATATTACAGCCAAGGAAACCCTATGGAGGCGATGTGAAGTTCAACTGTTACAACACAGTCACAAAAATATTATTCTACACCCTACTTTAGTGAGTAGTAACTGGGATCTTAAAAGCTTATGAACAGCCATCTAAGATGAAATTTTTGGTCTCTCTTTGTCTGGAGCAAAGAGGAGTGAAGAAAATCAAAGATGTATGGACACAATTAGTCCAAGGGACTAATGGACCACGAGAACCTCAGCCTACATGACCCTGAGACCAGAAGAACTACATGGTGCCCAGCTACCACTACCAACCACTCAGAAAGGGATCAAAATTGGAGATCCTGGATACAGTGGGAGAAAAATGTGGAACAAAATTAAAAAAATATAAAAGAAGACCAGGATTTCTGGTCAGAGAGAGAATGGTGAAATCTGAGACTACGGCCCCCAGCCACCCTTTGGGCTTGGAATTGGACTCACTCCAATGGCTAACTTTCAGCCAAACAAGACAGACAGACCTATGAGGTGAACTATTATACCAGGGAGATGCACTCCTTAGAACAATCAACCATGGGAGTCAGAAGAGCAGCATTTGCACAGGGGGAAAGCTAAGGAGGCAGGAATGCATAGGAGGGAAGGACACAGGGAAAGAGTAACCATAGGAGGAAGTGGGAGGAGAGCTGTTACGATGTGGGCACTGTAACCAGCATCACAAAACAAAATGTTTATGAACTGTTGAATGTAAAATGAATCTGCTTTGTAAAATTTCACCCAAATCACAATAAAAAGCAAAACAAAAATAACAACAAAAAAAATGAAACCCTATAGGGCACTGTAGAGTCACTCACTATGAGTCAGAATCAACAAGATGACACACAACAACAAGAATATAAGCCAAGAATTGTCCGAGGCACTGGGGATAGTGAAATGAACAAAATAATGTCCTTGTCTTCCTGCAATTTATATTCTAATGTGTGTGTGTGTGTGTGTGGGGGGGGTGGTGGTGGCAGAGAATCAATCAACAGGTCCGAAGACAGAAAGTGCCAAGCAATTAATCAGATAGCAAATGATGAAATATTATTAAAGTTCTTTATATAGGATAGTCAGAAAAGGTCTCATTAAGAAAGTGACACTTGGGCAGAGATGTAATAGAAGAGAAGGTTAGAAGGGGAAGGAGCTCATCTTACTTAGTCTATGCCATTTCACTGTATTTTGCAATATCCTCCTGTCCTAGCTTTGAATTCTAACCATCCATGTTCCTTTGAAAAGCCATGGTTTCCATGAAGCCTTCCTTGATCTCCTGCCCATTTCACTCCATACACCCCCAAAAGAGCATAGCGTTTTCCTCTCTCTCTCTCTTTTTTTTTTTTTTTGGTGTGTGTATCTATTCTGTCTCAGGCCCTGCCCAGGACACTGTCTTGGCGCACAGCACTGGATACACAAGTATAGTTCCTGCCCTCTCAGAGATCACAGACAGCTCCTAGTTCTCTATTACACTCAACTTCGTAAAATGACTATCTTTGGGCTATCTTAGGAAAATTCTTTCCATGCCCAGTGACAACAATCTTTTGTATTTTAGAGCCACCTCTGAATTTTCAACAGTGACAAGGAGTGAGCTTTCATGAGTGAGAACTGCTCATGATTATCCTTTGACTTGGTCTGAGCTGGAGAGCACATTTAAACATCAAAAAACCCAAGAGGAGAGATGGTCTCTGGATTCCTTCCCGTGAATACAACAGCCCCACCCATTATATCTGAAGTTGGTAATGTGAATTTTGGAAAATGTATTATTTCTTTTAGGGCCCTGGGGCCTAGTACTTTTTTTCTTTAAATCCAACTTTTTTTTTTCCTCATGAAGAGACTTGTTTTGGCAAAGGTGAGCAATAAAAATGACAAAGGAAGAGAAAATAACAAAAGTAAGCAAATACAAAAGATGACATGTGGTCCAAGCCTCATTGCACTCATCCCCAAACATTGGAAGAACAGATCCAATCACTACCTTGACAACTATAGAACATTTCAGGAGAAACAGTACATAAATACTAAGGGGAGTTATCAAAATTAGAAGGGTTCTAAAGGAATTACTCCCTGAGGTGGTTAAGTTCTAAAGAAAACTCTCAAGGGGATGACAAGTACAACAGCCAGGGAAAGAAAGAAGAAGGAAGACTTGCCAAGCGAGGATAAAATCACACAGGCTGAAAGTGCTGACTTTAATGTACAAGTCATCTTCATTCCTTTAGGAAGGGAATAATATGTTGAAAAAAAGCATCTAGAAGATGGATTGTGCGAGTATCCTTACGTAGGAATTAGAAGCAGCAGCTTTAGGAGGTATGCAGAGGGACCAAATTGGCCAGGAGTCTACTTTAATCTTAAGCGCTTAGCACTTCCTTAAGAAAAACAACCAGTGTTACTACCGTTTCCCTTCCAACTTGTCCCTTTCTGTTTCAGAACTAGTCATAAACAAAACAAGCTGCCAAAAGCTCTCGCTTTTCTTTCCAATTACTTTCCAAACGCCTTCCTGCCTACAAGTAGGTCTAGCCAAAAATTATTATCTCAGAAAGCTTCAGCTATAGCTTTTCTAGTATCCTGTGCCTACAGATGAACTTTCAGGTCCTTCAAGAAGGTGTATGTTATTCCACGACTCTCAAAACAACTGGTTATGAAATCATTCACCTGCAATGTATACTGCTAGACCTTGGAAATTCCCGATTCATTTTTAGTAAATCAATATTACCATCATATTTAGCTCATAAAACGTGTTATAAAAATAAAACAAACTTCCAAATACTTTGTTGAAAAGAACTACTTAAATCCCACTTATTTCTATAAAAAGAGGCTAATATTCTTAATATTGCTAATAATGATACAAATTAGACAAAGCAATATACTGAAGTAATTTAAGAGCCCACACTGGAAACAGTTTCTTTCTTTCTTTTTTTTATGTTTATATTAATGAAAGGTAGTAATAAGGTAAGAAGTTACCAAAAATAAATAAATAAATAAATAAATATAAAGACCTTTTTTAAAAGCTTTGTTATAAATCATCTTTTTCAACATAAGTTATTTTTTAAATCATACACAACTCCTAAGTGTCAGGGTGCACAGCAAAGAATACAACAAAGTTATTTTGGAACAGGATTTGGGTCCAATGTGCACAGACAATGGCATTATCCTTCCATGACCGGGCACTACCAAACAGAGCATAAATGGTAGAAACACTTTCAAGGTCCAAGACAAAAGACAGCACAACATATCCCGTTAAAAACTTGATTCATCTGACAGAAAAACTCTCAGAAAAAGAAGTGAAAATCAAAGAAAAGTAGACTTTGTAGAAATAGTGAGTAGCCAGCTGTACCTGGAAGCCACAGAACAATCACAATCCTCCCTGTTTTGGATACCATTCATACTCTGCATTAAATTAAATGTTCCTCTATAGTCTCATAGTAATCCCCACTTCACTATTAGAAAATGATACTCTACCCTCTCTGGGACTATGAGCTTCTGTAGTATGGAAACTGAGTTTTATTTCATCTTTTGTATCCCCTAGAATCAAATATAATACCTGTCTAATATTATCTATGTACTTAGGATGAATTAAAAGTTTCCTGGTTACATGACTATTTACAGACCTCTACTCTGGTGGCCACTATGAGTCGGGTCCGACTTGATGGCACACACCACCAGCACCACTACCAGCACCACCAGCAGCACCACCACCACACTACCACAGTGGCATAGTGCCTAAGGCACTTGACTGCTAACCAGAAGGTTGGCGGGCTCGGAAGGAAGATTGGGCAATCTACTTCCGTAGTGATATCGCCTCGGAAACCCAAGGAGGGGTCACTATGAGTTGGAGACGACTGGACGGCACATAACAATAAACACCTCCATAAGGGCTGCCAAGTCAATTCCAACTAATGGTAACCCCACGTGTGTCAAAGCAGACTATGCTCCACAGCGTCTTCAGTGACTGATTTCCCAGAAGCAGATCACCAGGCCTTTCTTCTGATTCAAATCTACAGCCATGCGGTTAGCAGCTGAGCATGTCAATCATATGCACCACCCAAGGGCTACTACTAAGATATGAAACTTGAGAAAATCACCAGAAATGATGATTTAAATGCAATACTAACAGCTACAGAAAACACTCTTAAGCATATGATAAACTTACTACATTTTTCCTTTTATTTTCAGCAATTCTCAAACTTCTTGTTCTCAGGACCCTTTTAGTCTTTAAGTTATTGAGCATCCCAAAGAACTTACACTTATGAAAAATTTCCAGATATTTATTTACCAAATCAAAATAGCAATAAACTCATTACACAGTAAGTATGGTTTCCAAGCCAGTATTCTTTACGGAAGGAGCTCTGGTAGGATAGTGCCTAAGGCACTTGACTGCTAACCAGAAGGCTGGTGGTTCAAATCCACCAGCCACTCCTCGGAAGGAAGGCAATCCTACTTCCGTAGTGATACTGCCTTGGAAACCCAAGGAGGGGTCG